TCCTTCCTTCCATGATTAGCTCCTTCCTTCCCAGCTGTAGTTCCTCCCTGCCCCCTTCCATTTTTCCATCAGCGACTTTGTCCATTACAGAGGACCAGCTTTCCTCCACTTCTGTTTTCTAGATTTCTTTATTAAGCCCATTTACATTTTGACATGTCCCCCGTCTCCCCCATCCCTCCATCTTCCCGTCTCTCTCCCTGCTGCCTTCCTCTCTGCCTCTCTTCCTTCACCTTGTTCCTTCATGCTATTGTGTCATTTTTAATTCTGCCTTTGATCCAGCGCACAACCTAATGATTATTCCGAGGTCAAGCCAGACAGGTGCCGTGCATTTCACTAATCCGGCTCCGGGAGCCTCTTGTCTGCAATCCATCCTCCCGTCTACGGGAACAGCATCCTAATGTCTCATTAGCAACCACCATCGCTGCAGAGACGCTGAGTGTTATCTTCTTGTGGGAAACAGCTATGGCGTTCCTGCAAGAAGGGGAAGACAGAGCTTTGGGAAGTTTCAGTGGAAGCAAGATACATCAAAGAGTTCCTGGAATGCTGTTGATGCCCCATAAGGGGATTCTAGGTCTTGATTGGTTTCTTTTGCAATGATGTTAACTGCATCCTGGTTAACGAAGTGTGAATTAGGCGCATTAGCATTAAAAAGTGAACCCGGGAGAATGTCAGGGGACTCTTTCAATCCTCATCGACCAAGATTTTTTTAAAAAGCTACCTTTTGGAGTGAATTGCGGGACATTATCTGAGAATCCCAATGCACGGAGAGTTTGCAGTAGAGTTGAGTTAAGGATTTGAGAAGGTGACCTGAGAAGAACTTGTAAAAACCAAGAATAATGTGAAGCTTATACAATCTAGAATGCTTTGGTTGTTGTTGTTGTTGTTGTTTAGTCGTTAAGTCGTGACCCCATGGACCAGAGCACGCCAGGCCCTCCTGTCTTCTACTGCCTCCTGGAGTTGAGTCACCAGAAAGAAATGATCATTTGAGGAGAAAGGAATAGTTGCTATTGGCTGAAGAGCCATCATGACTTGATTAGGTGGAGGTGCTGCATCCAACTTCTGATAGAAGAAGAACAAGAATGGGTGGGCTTAGAGGATAGCTCGGCATCTGGCTACGGAGCCAGAGGTTGGGTGCCCGATTCCCCACTGGTGCCTCCTGGACAGGGGCTGGACTCCATGATCTGTAGGGTCCCTTGCAGCTGTGCAGTGCTGAGATGAGGATGAGGATGAAGTGCATTTAGAGTTGGGGATCCCGTTATGCTTAGCATGTTTGATGTCCATTTCTCATATTTCCTGAATCCTCAGAGAATTGGATTGTCCCTCTCTTCCTGAAAAAGATGAGGATGATGATGAAGTGCAGTTAGAGTTCGGGATCCCATTATGCTTTACCATGTTTGATGTCCATTTCTCGTATTTCCTGAATCCTCTGAGAATTGGATTGTCCCTCTCTTCCTGAAATCTGAACAACCTAGAGATAACCATACTTCTGCATCTCAGCATCTTTGGTTGCTCAAAAATGGGCAGGGGACATTTTGGTCCCCATAATGCTATTTGAACCTAACAAGAACGATAAGTAAGTACGCCAGGGGTAGAAAGAAATCCCAGCTATTTTTTTCGTTGACTCTGTCAAAGAAACGATGGCCTTGTGTTTGCAAGGCTTGGGCAGGACTGTGGATGACAGGAGCTTGGAAGGGGTCCGTAAGGCCATCAAGTCCAACCCCCTGCTCGATGCAGGAATCCAAATCAAAGCAGGTCTGGCAGAGAGTGGTTCAATTTTCTCTTGAGTGCCTCCAGCATTGGAGCGCTCACCATCTCCTCCCAAGGTCATTAGTTCTGTTGTTGAACTATTCTAACAGTTAGGAAGTGTTTTTTTCCTGATATTCGACCAAAATCTGGCTTCCTATAACTTGAGCCCATCATTGCATGTCCTTTCATAGCGTCGCTGTGACTCGGGATCAACTTGATGGCACACGATGTAAGACTTTTTTGTTTGGCTATAAAGGGCAAGTGGGGGCTGGAATCATTCTTCATGAGATTCCAGGGAACTGCTTCATACCACTTCCCAATCTGAGGTCCTGTTTTGTTTCTCCTGCAACAAAAAGGGGATTCTGAGGACTCAGGAGGTCCCTTCTTGGCGTGTGAAAGAGCGATTTGGATTGGCTTGGCCATCAAGCTGAACATCAGGGATGAGAAATAGGTCAATCCATTTCTGAGCTCTTAGAATAGGAGTCAAAGAAGGTCTTATACCTCACCTTACTTCCCGTGTGGTCTTCGCATGTGGTCTTCTCTGTAGTCATTTCCTGATCAGATCTGATGATTTCTGCTCTCTTGTTTTCAGGACAATACAGCAATGGCTGTCCCGAGTCCAGTCTCTCCTCTACTGCAACGAAAATGGGTTCTGGGGCACCTTCCTGGAAAGCCAGAGGAGCTGCGTCTGCCACGGAAGCACCAGCCTATGCCAGCGTCCCATCCCCTGCATCATCGGCGGCAACAACAGTTGTGCCATGTGCAGCTTGGCCAACATCTCCCTCTGCGGCTCCTGCAACAAGGGCTATCGCCTCTCGCGGGGCCGCTGCGAGCCACAGAACGTGGACTCAGAGCGCAGCGAGCAGTTCATCAGCTTCGAGACCGATCTGGACTTCCAGGACCTGGAGCTGAAGTACCTCCTACAGAAGATGGATTCCCGGCTGTACGTGCACACTACGTTCATCAGCAACGAGATCCGCCTGGACACCTTCTTTGACCCCAGGTGGCGCAAGCGCATGTCCCTCACCTTGAAGAGCAACAAGAACCGGATGGACTTCATCCACATGGTGATCGGCATCTCCATGCGCATCTGCCAGATGCGCAACAGCAGCCTGGATCCCATGTTCTTTGTCTACGTCAACCCTTTCAGCGGGAGCCATTCGGAGGGATGGAACATGCCTTTCGGAGAGTACGGCTACCCCCGCTGGGAGAAAATCCGCCTGCAGAACAGTCAGTGTTATAACTGGACCCTCCTGCTAGGGAACCGGTGGAAAACTTTTTTTGAGACCGTCCATATCTACCTACGCAGCCGGACTCGGCTCCCTTCCTTGATGCGCAACGAGACCGGTCAAGGGCCTGTGGATCTGTCCGACCCCAACAAACGGCAGTTCTACATCAAGATCTCGGACATTCAGGTGTTTGGCTACAGCTTGCGCTTCAATGCCGACCTGCTGCGCAGTGCAGTGCAGCAGGTCAACCAGTCTTACACGCAAGGCGGTCAGTTTTACTCTTCCTCCTCCGTAATGTTGCTGTTGCTGGATATACGGGATCGGATCAACAGACTGGCGCCGCCAGTTGCCCCGGGAAAGCCCCAGCTTGATCTGTTCTCTTGTATGCTGAAGCACCGCCTGAAACTGACCAACAGCGAAATTATCCGCGTCAATCACGCGCTCGATCTGTATAACACCGAAATCCTCAAACAATCTGATCAGATGACAGCCAAACTCTGCTAACCCAGACTTTGCATACTGATGTACTACTAGACTCACCTTTGTGCTGTAAAAAACAAAACAAAAATAAACCCACACAGACACAAACACGCAGACACAACATTACAAAAAAAAAGGAAGATGGAAGAAAGAGATTTTTAAAAAATGAACAAAAGATTTGTAAAATGTAATTAATATACAAAGGAGAGGGAGGGGGAGAGAGGAGGGCCTTTGTTGGTTGGGAAATGCAAAGAAAATCCGTTGAGCCACCATGTGAAACTGCTGGGCAAGTTGTGTTGTTCCTAGAACTGTAAAATGGGAGCAAAGTTTTGGGACATCGCTTCATAAGATCCAGAGACAGCAAAGATGGGTGGGGATGGGGTAATAAGAAAGATGCCGAAATGGGTTTTTTTGAGATTTCCTGTATTTAATTATAAAGATTTCAGCTATGCAGGTGCCAAAAAAAGAGAAGAAGTAAAAGAGAGAGGAAGGAATTGAGTGAGAAAGAGAGAATTCCGTGTACAGGTACAAAGTGTTGCCATTTCTCCACGTGGGAGCTAATGGCCAAAGATAAAAGATATTTCTTTTGTGAGGTGTCGAGCAGCTTTATTCTGAGTCCGTCCACACACTTTGGGATGAATTGTGGTCATCAAGATGAATGTTCTTAGCATTCAAGGTGCCCAATCTCTTAATGATCCGCCATAGAGTATGGATTCACTTGGCTCATAATGGAGTACAGTGGTGCCTCACTTAACGATTGCCTCGCTTAATGAGGAAATCGCTTGACAATTAGGTTTTTTGTGATCGCAAAAGCGATTGCAAAACAATGGTGTAAATGGGAAAAATCTGCTTCACAATGATTGGTTCCCTGCCTCAGGAACCAATTTTTGCATTACAACAATCTAAAAACAGCACATTGTCGGGTTTCAAAATGGCTGCCGGGTGTACAAAATGCCCCCCTGCTGTTTTCTAGGACAGATTCCTCACTTTACAGGCACCATAAATGGCCGCCCCTATGGAGGATCTTTGCTGGATGATGAGTTTTTAGCCCATTGGAACGCATTGGACGGGTTTCGCTTTATGATGTTTTCGCTCTACAATGATTTCACTGGAACGAATTAACATCGTCAAGTGAGGCACCACTGTATCATTTTCTGAAGCTATTCTTCTGCAACAAGGGTGAAGGCCCCCTTTCATCCCAAGTTCCATTTGCAAGAGGTTCTTGGGGGAGCCCTTTCAAGTTTTGAGTAGCCTTTCCAGTATGCAATGGATGGAGGCTGAATAGAATGTGTCAGAGAAAGAGCTGTGTGAATCTGGGCAAAGTGGTGTCAAACTAGAACAGAAACATCCATGGTGCTAAGTGGAAGTTATGGCCATTCACCAGGGATCCCAGCAGAGGAAGCCCAAAACTTCTGGAGGGCAAAGGATGGGAGCAGGTGGGTTAGAGTGGATTGGACCAAAATTTTTGATCACTTTACAGTGGTGCCTCGCTTAACGAGCGCACCATTTAACAACGAATCTGCATAGCGACATTGCAATTGTGATTGCAAAAGCGATCGCATTGCGATGTTTAGATAGGGAAAAATTGCTTTGCAACGATCGGTAAGCGTTTCGCTTACCGATTTTCGCATAGCGATTTTTTTAAAACAGCTGATCGGCGGTTCCAAAATGGCCTCCGGATGCCCAAATGGCCGCGCGCAGCGTTTTTGCGCCCTGCCCTCGCTTACCGAGGGCGCGAAAATGGCGGCGCTATGGGGAAACTTCGCACAACGGTGAGTTTAGGAGCCATAGGAATGCATTAACCTAAGTTTAATGCGTTTCTGTGGCGTTTTTGGTTCCGTATAGCGATGTTTCCCCATAGCGACGGTTAATCTGGAATGGATTAACCTTGCTATGCAGGGCACCACTATATTTCTAGTTAGTATGCCTTCTGTTCCATTCTCAAATGAATCTTCAGAAAGAGTAAATCTTAAAAGATTCAGTTCTTTTGCTGGTGGACATGAGTTCTTTAAGGCAGATAAATGACAGGATCCAGAATATTGGTCTCCATAGCTGTGTCTCCAGATCTTCTGGAGCCCCAGTTATTATAGCCAGTGGCCAAATACTTGGAGATTTGTACAACACATGGAGATCTAAGATTGTGAACCACTGATCTAGAATTTACTAGCTGTTCAGCCCCAGCTACCACTAGATGTCTGTTACATAATATAAGACCCAGGATGTTCCACAACACAGTTGACCTTGTGAGTGAGAAACAATGGTCAAGACAAAACAGTAGGGCACCAGGAACACAATACATGGTGATTTAATAGTAACTGTGGGGGGTCATAAAAGTTCTTTAAGAGGTGGTTAAGGAAGGAGATTGAGGAGCAACTGGGGAAAGTCATGGTGGTGACCTAAACAGCCATGCCTGCAACTGTGTAAGCCACTGTTTTCCCAACCGTGTGTCCTTAGATGTTCGTGGACTACAACTACCAGAAATCCTGGTGAGCACAGCTAGTGGTGAAGGCATGGTTTCTGGGAGTTATTGTCCAAGAACCTTGGGGACCCAAGGTTGGGAAACACTGGTGTAGCCAGAGTCTGTGCCAGGAAATCTGTGACAATCCAGATGTTGATAGACCATGTTTTCCTTAATGAACAATGGCCAGACAGTCAAGAGCTGATGAAAACTGGAGTCCAACAACATTACAAATGCTTTAAGTTCCTTAGATCTGGCCTACATGCTTTTGGAGCTCACCTGAAAATGCTCTGCTAAGGTCCATCAGATTTCTACACCAGTTACATTTAAGCCATCTCCTGAACACCCCCTAGTTCTGGCAGAACCTACCACCATTGAGGGCTGGCCAGTGCTGAGTGTGATTTTTATATCCCCCAACATTGTCGTGGATCATTTGTACTGGAAGTTTTGGGAAAATGTTTAATGACAGCATGTGGATGCAGCTTGGCAAAGGGCACTTAGCTGAAAGTCCTGGGCCTGGACGTTGCCCTGATTCCTGTCGGAAAGAGATCTGTGGGGAATTACAAGGTGGTCAACTCTGTTGAGGAGGCAGGGGCCACGTGACTGGCCATTAAGCTAGGATTATGCCTCCTGAGATGATGGTGGAAGGGGGACAGTCTGGACATTAAGTCATGTCATTCAGTGATTCTCAGCCTTGGTTCCCTAGATGTTGTTATGGTTCCATGTCCCAGAAGGGCCAGCCATGGTAGCTCATGGTAGGCATTTCTGACTATTGTCTGCGATCCAAAGCTGGGAAACTCTGAAGTTGCTGAATATTTTTATGGAATGAGCCAAGAGAATCTTTAACGTCTAAGATCAAGGACAGAAGATCAGATGGTCTTCCAGGTATGTTTAGGCTGCATCCCCATCAGCATCACTGGCTACGCTAAATCGGGCTGATGGACGTTGGCATCCAATGCCATCTTGAAGGCCACATATCTTCCCATCCTCATCTTGCAGAAAAACACAAATATGCCTTTCGTCCATGAATTAGCAAGGGATGGTCCTTCAGATCTTTTTGGATTGCATCTCCCCCCATGGGCTATGCTGGATAGGATGTTGAGTCTCACAGACCGACTAGAGGGCTCCTTTTTGCCATCCTTCTTTTACTTATCAACAGCTATCAGCATGAGACAACCCCTTCCTCTCCCCATGTTCCCTCTTGGTCTCTTTCCCTATTTAATCAGAAACTACCATAAATATCTGCAGAGCAAAAGGAATTGACAAGATCCAGTTTCTCTCCAGCTTCAGGCAATAGGAGGATGAAGGTGGGGAACACATTCCCCCACCTTTAACAGAGGAACAAGTCATGTCTAGAGATTTCTTTAAATCATCTCTCCTCTTCTCTGCCATATTCTTAATTCAATTACTTCCTTCTCAGGCTCAGGTGGGAGCAAGTGTCTTGCGTCAGCTTGTCTTATGAATAATATGTTGATGCTCAGGTTGGGAAAAACGGTAGAAGGCTCACTTGGAGAGGTCTAAGAGCAAAGCCTGAGGTTGCCATGGAAACAAAGCAAGGCAATTAATTAGCCATTAGGTGAAAACCTTAGGAAGAATCAAGGCCTCTTGGCATCTCTGCCCTCTGAAGGGACATGATGACGGTAACCGTAACCATAATCTTCCTGATCTTTGTTGACAACCACCACCAAAAATGTCTAGATCTGAACTTAAGGATTGTCTTTTCAACAGTGGACACATGGGCAGCGGGCTTTGATCACGACACTTTAGGTCCTCCATGGAGCCCTCCATAAGACCTTCAGACTATCACTTGCTGTCTATGGATTCATGCAAAGAAGAGTCCCATCATCTACTTCTTTGCCCTTTTAATGCCTTGGCCTAAAACCAAGTGCTCGTTCCAACAGGAATGAGCCATTAAATCTATGGGATGTACATAAGTAGATTCAATGGGTCATCCCATACATACTCACATTTTCTGATGTTCACCCAATCATGATCAACAACAGCATGTTGAGGGCTGGAGGTCAATATTAGGCTTCCATTCATTTCCCTGACATTCCACCTTAGGAGTTAATATTTCCCTCCTTAAGCAGTGGTTCCCAACCTTGGGTTCCCAGATGTTCTAGGACTACCACTCCCAGAAATCTTGGGCAGCACAGCTAGTGATGAAGGCTTCTGGGTTTTTTAGTTCAAGGCTACATACTCATACACATGGAAACAGCTTTTGTATTTCACTGTTTGACTCCCAGATTGCCTGGGTCAGCATAAGTCGACCGAGGTGATGGGAAGGTCCCATTTTTACCTGAGATGCCTGAGCTGCTCGGGGGTTGAACCTGGGACCTTCTATGCAAAAAACATGAGCTCCACTGTTGAGCTACAACCTGAACCTCCCAAAAGAGATGGAAAGAACTGAGATCGTGGAGTTGAGAAGAAACAGCCAGCACATGTCTTGAGGCGAGAAGCTGACCTAAAAGAAACACGATGAGTCTTTTCTCAAAAGCCGTCCTCCAGTGGTTTTAAGTTCTTTCGTTCTCCAGAGGCAACAAAACACTGTTTAGCTAGACTCTGCTTGATTTTAATTTTTAAGAAAGGATGCCGTGTCCTCAGGCAAGTGTTAGAAATTACAACTGAAGCGTCTAACATTAATTACAATTCTGTATGTATATGATTTTTTTCCCCACTGCCTT